TTGAGGCTGTTTTCGTTAGAGAGAAGGTGGTTAAGAGGTGACTTAATAGAGACATACAAGATGATCAGAGGATTAGATAGGGTGGACAGCGAGAGCCTTTTTCCTCGGATGGTGATGGCTAACACGAGGGGACATAGCTTTAAATTGAGGGGTGATCGATATAGGACGGATGTCAGAGGAAGTTTTTTTCACTCAGAGTAGTAAGGGCGTGGAATGCCCTGCCTGCAACAGTAGTAGACTCGCCAACTTTAAGGGCATTTAAATGGTCATTGGATAAACATATGGATGATAATGGAATAGTGTAGGTTAGATGGGCTTCAGATTGGTTTCACAGGTCGGCACAACAGAGGGCCGAAGGGCCTGTACTGCTCTGTAATGTTCTATAAATAGAAACATTTAATTCCAAAAGTTCTTGTTTGGCCCTAAATGTGCTCAGATCCTGTCACCACACTTTGCAAAGGATTTGAGTGCCCTTGGACAGTACGCATGGGAAATTTACAAGGATGATTTCAGGAATAGGGAATTTTAGCTACTGGGTTAAGTTGGAAAAGGTACGGCTGTTCTTGTTGGATCAAGTAAAGTTGTAGGGAGGTTTGTTTGATGTGTCCAAGACTATGGCAATTTGGATGAGTTGGACAAATTAATGCTGTTCTCTTTGGCTGAGAGCACCAGGATCATATACTTGTGGAATTCTCTTCCCCAGAAAGTAATTAAAACCGGGTCATTGAATTTATTCAAACTAGAGTTAGTTAGATTTTTGATAGATAAGGGAGTCAATGATTATGAGGGACAGCAGGAATGTGGACTTCAGACCACAAGGAGATTAGCCATGGTCTAATTGGCACAGCAGACTCAAAAGGGCTGATGGCCTGCTCCTGTTTCCAAGGACAAATCTAAGATTTTGATTAAGAGATACAGAGGGGTTGAGAAGAACCACTTTTAATCTAGAATGGGGTTGACCACAAACACTCTGTCCACAATAATGATGGGAACAAAGACAAAGACAAAGACAAAGACAATCAAAGATTTCAAAACAAAATTGGATAAGCTTTTGAGATAACTAAATTTACAAACAACCAGGATAAAGTGGGAGAATGGAACAGAATACATGGTTCAACAATAGGGACTTAATAGGTCAAACATCCTTCAGTATCGTAATGACTATGGAGATATATAAAACATCATCTGCTTTTGTTAACGTGTGCTCTGCTCTTTTCATATTTTCTAATTAGTTGAACAGCTCACATGAAAGGAATCAAATGTCTGTCAACATTTTCTCTTGTCTGCTTATGTGCTCTCACTTCCAAAGATAACTTCATCAGCCCCTCTGGGTTGGAGAGTGTCAGAAGCCGAAGGATAAGCCAGATTCAGTGTTTAAAAAATAATCACTTCTTTAAATAACCTTGCGCAACGAGTCTCACATTGATGATCTTCATCCAGCCAGGAGATTTTCTTACATGATAATTCCATTTTAGTTGACAACAGCCATGACTTGAAATATTGGGCAAGGTCTCCATTTGCACAGAAATCAAAGCAGCAAAAAGGGTGAAAATGAGATTCCTAACAACTGAGTGGGAACTCTGCTAATCACGCAGAATTTTCTGGGGTCACACTCATTTTAATATTGCAGGCAAGCTCCTGGAAGCAGTGCTACCTCCAACTGAGAGCTGCCGAAACGGAAGCAATTGAAAAGGGACCGCAGCATCAAAAAAGAAATGCATTGGTAGGACAACTACCAATCACTTATCTTAATAGTGCCTTCAGGTCTACAGGATGGCTGATGGTCCTCTGATTCACTGATGAAGTAACGGTCAAGGTTTACAACAAAGTAAGGCAATACAGAAGCACACTGGTTGGGTCATACACGATAAACACTGAAGAATAGCAGCAAGTGTACGAACTGCACATATGCAGCACCTTGCTGACACAAACAATTTAAAGCTCTTCAGGAAGTATTATAAAAAGAGGCTGTTGCAAAATTCAGCACCGTACTGTACAAAACGTGGCCGTCACTAACAATAACCTCCCAAACCTTGCGCTAAATGGAGTCAATTATTTACAATCAATGTCCAAGTTGCAACACAATCCCTGTTAACCTAAAATTAGACACCTAAGCAATCACTGTAGTAAAAGCTGAACAACTTTAAGTTGTGCTGCAGAACACATCCACCATCAGTTAAATCATGATTTGTCATGGCACTCAGCCAAATATTTCCATTCTTTCTCAAGCAGAAAAACAGTCCATAACAGCAATTCAGGAAGTACCACATCTGGTGCCCTCCTCAGTCTCTCAGCCATAACAAGAAACCCTTTTCAAACTGATGGAAGAGAGAGTACACAGTGGAGATGACAGAAGGCAATAATTCCCACGGAAGTCAGTCAAGTATATGATGCGATGTTGTTGGTTGCAAGTGAACTGTACATTGCAGGAATTTAATCCATCCCTGTTGCTGTGGCTGGCAATATTGCTTAGAGTACATATAGACTGATGAATGCAATTTGAGCCAACAGTGGAGTTAGTCAACAAGTCAGGCTGTCACATAATTTATTGATACTTCTCTCATGAAGCACAGATTTGACTAATGCTGTTCCCACCCAGCTGGAGATAAGAATGCACTAGTACGTATATTTTACTATAATGTTATCAGCAGATAGATGCCAAATACTTCTCATTTGTCTGACCAGATCTTTCCTTTATTGTCCTTCTTCAAGTAATGGAGATAGAAAATCCATTATGGCTGCTCACTAATTAGAGGAGAACAAGGCAGAATTAAGGTATGAAGATTAACATAGAACTGAAAGAAGGCTAAGGAACGCACTTTGTAAATGAGAATTTTACCAGACTTTTTAAAGAAACAGCATGTTGGATATGGCTTTTAAGTTCACATCTGCATTCAATTTAGCACATAGTAATACGAGATGGTTGTTTTAATATCTGACATTAATCACTTATTTTCTCTCTTATTTATAACAGTTAACTATAACACTAAGGTCTCTTGTGGTGCAGTGGTAATATCCCTACCTCTGAGCCAGGAGGCTCATGTTCAAGTCTCACCTGCTCCAGGAGGTGTGTAATAACATCTCTGAACAGGCTGATTAGAAAATAGGTTAAAGCATTTTTTTCAAAAGGAAGATTTTAATTATACCACTAGGGCTCCTGTGGTGTAGTGGTAGTGTATATACCTCTGAGCGAGGAGAGCTGGCTTCAAGTCCCACCTGCTCCAATATCTTTGGATAGGTTGATTACAAATGTTAAAAAACAACAAAAAAAACATTGGAAACTAAACTCAACAGCACCTCTCAAATGTTAATTCTGATCTCTCTCTTTCTCTGCACCTTCTCTGTGGCTGTAACACTGTATTGTGCACTATGTTCTGTAATCTTGATGCACTTTGTATGGTGTAATCTGCCTGTAAAGCACACAAAACAACACTTTTCACTATATCTCAGTACATGTGACAACAATAAATCAAAGCAGATTTTGGCACTTCAATACTGTATGATCCCAAGTAGCAGTATTTGCTTCAAGGAAAAGATAAAAATATAGCAAAGATTGCAAATTCTAATATATAATGAATAAACTATAATTTGGGCCACTGAATCCAGCTTTTGATTGATTTGGGCACACTCCACACAAAACCATCCTAATTCAGCACTAAATTAGTGGTTGTAGATTCTTCGTTATTTGAGTATGGCCATGTTGCAAGTGACCTCATCACCCTCACTGGGTCATCTCATTCCTGAAAAATATGATCTCAGATTAGTATGGATGGCCATAGAATTAGCATTT